TTTGAAAAGTTCTAATCTAAGAGAATACAACACGACAACTGTGGAAAGCTGAAAATTAATTTGCAAGAGGAACTTTTACATCCCTCAGTTTAATTCAGCAACTCAGTCTTTTCTCATTGGTTCAGTTATGTTATTTTTCTGTTTATCTCTTAACAATTCAAGTTTTTAACCTTTTCTGGCCACCTTTGACTCTTTCCTGTTGATTCAGAATGACACCCCAGATATTACGCTACACTTAATTACATACTGTACATAATCCCTCAAAAAATAAATTCAGTTCCTCTTGAAGGCCTTATGCAGCACTGCCCCTTTTCAGCACAGTGCTTTTCTTCCGGTTTGTATTTCCTAAAAATCATTCTTTTTGTTTTCGTTCTTCTGATGGTTTCTAGATTTCTCTTTCTGCCAACTGTATAGTTAGTTGTATGGTATACAGCGATATGACCCAGCACCCAAAATACTATCAAAACACTCCAACCCAGCCTCCATTCTTCGCGAAAGATAAAAAGGTGCACAGGAAACAAAAACCTTGAAAAAATTATATACGACCCCACAAAATCCTGGCCAAATCACAGAGATGCCTATTCACACGGGACTAATATTATCACAGGACCTCGGTGTTCGGCGAAATATGGTAGGTCATTTGCTGGAGAATTTTTACTTTACAAATTACAGATTTCCCTGTTAACACTGTAAAGCTGCTTTGACACAATCAGTATTGTATGCGCTATATAAATAAAGGTGACTTGACTAATCCCATGTGAATAGGGCTATAGTTCCACAGACTCTGAGATTCTTACCTGCACGGGAACCAGGACCACAGCTAAGACCTGCTGATGCACACACTCCCATAAGTCTCTTCGAAATGTTTTTTCAGAGAGTGCTGTGTCAACTCTGTGCCACAACACCAATGCTCAGGCTGTCAGGGCACGTGCAAAGGGCCGTAAATAGATCCCCACAAGGGAAAAAAATTATTAAAATAGTCAAGTCAAGTCATCTTTATTTATATAGCGCTTTTAACAACACAGATTGTGTCAAAGCAAATTTACAGTATAGTAAAAATAGTAAATGATGTTCATCTGAAAGTGTAACAATGCAAACAGGTTTTCTGTAAGGGGTAGGTTTAGGGTTGGGTTAGGGAACAGAAAATATTATTTGGTCGGTATAAAAGTAATAGAAGTCTATGGAAAGTCCCCAATTCACATAAACAAACGTGTGTGTGTGTGTGTGTGTGTGTGTTTTCTGGCTTTATTTCAGTGACATTTTTTTGTTTGTTTTTTTGCTAAGCATGCATCAACCTTATTTTCTCAGAAATACAAACTCGTATACATGCTGATTTCATATTATTGTAGCCTAGTTTATGCTGATAGTTTATGCTGATTACAGTGTAATCAGGCTTTAGCCATTAAAGGGATAGTTCACCCAAAAATTTGATGTTTATCTGCTTACCCCCAGGGCATCCAAGATGTAGGTGTAGGTTTCTTCAGTAGAACACAAACGAAGATTTTTAACTCAAACCGTTGCAGTCTGTCAGTCTTATAATGAAAGTGAATGGGAATCACGGCTTTGAGAGTCCTGAGCGCATCCCCGACAGCCGGTGCGTGACGTGTCTTCTTCTTCTTCTTGCTTTTCGCAGACTTAAGCCTGTGTTATACTTTACGCATGAGCAATCCGGACGCGTACACGGACAGCGCGGACGCGGACTACTTGTATTTATACTTCCGAAAGCATACGCTGATGGTCCGCTCTGCGGACGTGTTCCATACATGCGTAGTAGATCAGCTTGAACAATAAACAAACATGTGAACAAAGAATTGCACAGAGTTACTGCACATCTGGCTGTTTTTATATTGTTTTATCGACAGATTGTACAGGTTCGAGTAGCAACGGGCTTCTTCACACAGCCTGCGCATGCGCAGTAGCCTACTGACCGTGCATACTTTTCCGCGCAGTCACAAAAAATGGGAGGTACGCGGCTGTCCGCGCGGAGCCTCCGCACACACTCTCCGATGACGATTTTTACGTCACGCATACCATAGCGGACCCTAGTGGACTCGCGGACGCGGAAAGTATAACACAGGCTTTATAAGTGCATTACCGCCACCTATCTCTCAAATGGACAATTGACACTCTATCTACAATCTCAATTAAGAGTGTAAATGGTCCATTTGAGAGATAGGTGGCGGTAATCAGAATCAGAATCAGAATCAGAATCACTTAAGTCTGCGATCCGCCGTAAAGCAAGAAGAAGAAGAAGATGCATCACGCGCCGGCTGTCAAGGACGTGCTCAGGACAGTTCAGACATTGCAGTGCATCAGAGGTAAAAAAACAATATAAATACTGTTCAGTTTCTTGTACAGACCGATCGTTTTGTGTCTTTACACATCAATGTATTGTCACGAGCTGCAGGGTTTAATTTGGTTTTGTTTGTGTATGTTCTTTTAACTCTCAAAGCCATGATTCCCATTCACTTCCGTTATATGACTGACAGACTGCAATGGTTCGAGTTAAACATCTTCATTTGTGTTCTACTGAAGAAACAAAGCCACCTACATCTTGGATGCCCTGGGGGTAAGCAGATAAACATAACATTTCATTTTTGGGTGAACTATCCCTTTAAATGCATTTTTAAATAACCAGTTATCCACAAGATGGCACCACAAACTCATCTTATTGCAATACAAGCTTGTCTTAATCTAGGTTGTGCCTGGTGTTTCAGATCATAATATCACAGACACATGATCATGTATCATGATATTGTTTTGCCGGTCATTCTACCTATTGTTTTTGAAGTAAGCTGATGTGGAGAGCGCATATAAACATCAGCTCTGACTCTGAGACATGAGGACTGATGTCTTAATTTCAGACAACAGAAAGGAAAAATTAAAGAATCGATAGCCTTTATTTGAAAATATGTGGCATTTCTCATGTGTAAATTACTTTGAATAAAAACATCTGCTAAATGGGTGTAAAATGTAAATATAATGATCAACATAATGATTCAACGGCGAGTAGAAAGGTTTACAGTTTATGATGAGTGCCTCTAAATTAGGACAGCATACCTTTTTCAGCGTTGTTACATCTGAACAACAACTTTCGTTGATGTAGAAACACAATCCACCACCTCTGGTTTTCCCCGTTAACTCCGCGATGCGATCCGCTCTGAACAGCTGGTAGCCCGGCAGATGAAGCGCGTTGTCCGGAATGGCTTCACTCAGCCAGGTTTCAGTGAAGCACAGTGCGGCAGAGTTTGAAAAGTCCTTGTTGGTGCGGGTGAGGAGAAGAAGTTCATCCGTTTTGTTAGGAAGGGAACGGACATAATGCACTTAAGTCTGCGATCCGCCGTAAAGCAAGAAGAAGAAGAAGATGCATCACGCGCCGGCTGTCAAGGACGTGCTCAGGACAGTTCAGACATTGCAGTGCATCAGAGGTAAAAAAACAATATAAATACTGTTCAGTTTCTTGTACAGACCGATCGTTTTGTGTCTTTACACATCAATGTATTGTCACGAGCTGCAGGGTTTAATTTGGTTTTGTTTGTGTATGTTCTTTTAACTCTCAAAGCCATGATTCCCATTCACTTCCGTTATATGACTGACAGACTGCAATGGTTCGAGTTAAACATCTTCATTTGTGTTCTACTGAAGAAACAAAGCCACCTACATCTTGGATGCCCGGGGGTAAGCAGATAAACATCACATTTTCATTTTTGGGTGAACTATCCCTTTAATATGTTTATAAGACCCTGAAAAAAACACAAACGTCAGGGCATGTCAAAACTTCTTCAGGGCCCCCAAACTCCCTCAGACCCCAGAGGGTTCAAATATAATGTATACATGTGGTGGAAAAGCTGAATTTTCATCAGCCATTGCAACAGTCTTCAGTGTCACATTATCCTTCAGAAATCATTGTAAAAATCAGAATATTTTTTTCAGGATTCTTTGATGAATGAATAAATAAAGATTACTATTTTGAATAAATGCGTTTTTTAAAAAACTTTTTATTAATCAAAGAATCCTGAATAAATTATCACAGGTTCCAAAGAAACATTAAGCAGCACAACTTTTCCAGCACTGATTATGAATCAGGCTATATTATAATGATTTCTGAAGGATCATGTGACACTGAAGACTGGAGTAATGTGTTACAGGAATAAATTAAAAATAAACTTGCCCAGATCTATCTCTGACTCATTTGCTAAAAGTAGCTACACTTGACAACAGTACATTTGACACAAAATAGTGTGTAGCCTATGGAGGGTTGCAAAAAAGCATTGTTTACATAAAATAAGATGTTCAGCAATGTTGTTTAACCAATGTTGTTTATCGTCTGTCGGAAGTTTCACCGCACAGCGCAAGCGCCATGAAGTAGGAATATTGTGGATGTTATTTTGCACTATATGGCAATACCACAATTATAAATTAAATCATTTTATATTTTTAAAAAACATCCAGAGAAAGTAGCCTGAAATTAAGTCATGTAATATACATAAAAGCCTACTCATATTATAAACTTATTTAAACAAAGTGTTTAAAATAGTAAACAATAATCTCAACTATAACAGCAAATTTAAGTCATCCGTTATTCATTAAAGATTGGGTTACATGAAAATAGATTATATAATTATAGTAGATTAAAATAGATAGGCTAATGATGAAAATAGATGAAAATCTAACCGGCATGCACTGCGTCGAGGAAATCGCCGATTGGTCTGTGTAGTAGATAAATAGGCCCTGCTGTCTGCATGCACAAGTTTGGCCTTACTTGGGTCGTTTGCGCCAGAGGTCTACGGGGCTTGATTTTTTATTTATTTTTTATTTGTTTCTGGCTTCATGACATGTCATTATCATGCATGGACCTGAAATGACGTGTAACAGGAGTTTAAAGATAATGATAGCGTTACTGATAAATTGGGAATTTGTAATATTGACATTAGCCCATCTTAACAAAGACGTTACAAATCGATCAAATGAGTCGCTCAAAGCACAGCAGTCTCTGTATTTGAGAGCCGCTGACGCTCACGAAGATGACTGTGAACGATATCTCAACACTTCAGCGTTTTCAAGTGATCCAGCGGACGACTCGACGATCCAATCCACTTTCAAATGCCATGCATGTGAGGACCAGTCTGGTTAATAATGCGGACCAAAACGGAGCGAATCCCTCGCAAAATGACGAATTTGAGGAGATTCTCAGAGGACCTGTGACTTGGCGATTCTTGAGTAAGTTAAGCTGCTTATAAGATTATTGGTGTTTTAAAATAATTTGTTTTACTGACTTGTCATAAAATCCGCTTATTCGTTCATCAAGGAGATCAACAGAATTTGAATGGAGTAGTGGTGTCCGACGACTCTCAGCCCGTGTTTACTTGTGGCAAGGAACACCTTTGGATCAAGTTTTCCACGACGCGGCATTCAAATCCACGCTTGATTATCAGTGAGTACTCCTGAATATTTACTCTTGAGTTATAAAGAGGCGGAGGGAAATCGATTTTAGATTTGTTCACAAAGTATGACGTTTTCATTTGTTTGTTTTTAATTTTTTTTTAATTAATTTTAGTCCTAAATGGACCCTAAAAAGAAAACTGGGAGAAGATCGAATGTTTGAGATCTGCGCCACGTGCGTCGGGGTTTTAAAGAGGCCACACTGCTTTTAAAGTGAAACCTGCTGCAGTCTGTGTAATTGATGGAAATCAAAGAACAAAAGAAAAAGAGAAATCACTCACTGCTCCCTTTAGCTCACTGATTAACTTTAGTAGCTTGAATAGATGAATCTATATTCAATTTAGTTTTTGCATATACTATTTATAGCTTGTGTGAAATTGTTTTAAAGGGGTCATATGATGCAATTTCAAGTTTTCCTTTCTCTTTGGAATGTTACAAGCTCTTGGTGCATAAAGAAGATCTGTAAAGTTGCAAAGACTAAAGTCTCAAATCCAAAGAGATATTCTTTATAAAAGTTAAGAGTCAGCCACGCCTACCTAAAATGACTCGTTCTAACACGCCCCACATGTCTACGTCACGATGTGAAAATATTAGCATAATGCCACCCAAAATAAAGCATGTCAACATTATTCTTTTATACCAAATACACAAAATAATGATCTTTAAAATAGCATCATATGACCCCTTTAAGTTCACTTAAAAGCGGTTATGTTTTTCATAACTTATTCAATAAAAAAAAATAATGGCTTTCAGTTATACTGTCATGTTGAATAGCTATAGTTGAGGAGGAAGATGCTTTTAGTAGAGACATCAGTAGTAGTGCTGTCAATCGATTAAAAAAAACTAATCACACTTTTTTTCCTGAAATTAATCACTGTTAATCCCACTAACATTTAAAGTTTTTAAATATACTTTTATATTGCAATAATTTCACATTCAATCTTCAATTTAATTTAGAAACCGCAGAGACAGTATATTTTTAATATCGGTTTAATTGCATCTTTATTTTTTTATGATTGAAGCGAGTATCACTGATACAATACTACTGATGTCTCTAGGAAATTCTTTTTTCCCCCAGTATTTAACCATTGACTATAGCCTTTCAACATTACAGTATAATTGAGAGCTATCAATTCCAATGTATTGTTTCACTTGTATTTTCATTCTCAGCTGTTTACGTTCACTTAAGTACATAACTTATGAGGGTTTACATGAATAATCACTAGAGATGCACCGATTACAATTTTCTTGTCCGATTCTGATTTTTTTTTGGAAGTGTGACCTGCCGATACCGATACCGATTCTGATTTTCTCTCTAAGAACTATAATTGACAACATATACAAACAAAAATCTATGCAAATTTCAATGCAAAAATTATTTACATAAAAGATATTATTAAACATTACAATTCCCCCAATCTGGACTAAGGTACAGATTTTCTCTCACTTAAACAACTCTCAAAATAAAGTGCTTCTTGACTGGAAAGAGGAAGAAATAGTTAACTTAAAATGAGCTGCTGTATGTAACAAAACAGATGTCATTTCCCACCGTTTATAAATGGTCATTTCCCCCCCCCCCCAACCTTATTAAATGTGTCATCTTTCACATCAAATTCTTACTTTGTTTCAATTAATTCAGTTAGAATAATAAGAAACTGTAGAGTTGCTACCATTCAAATGAAACTAGTATTAACTAGGGATATGCCGGTATCAATTTTTCATGTTGCGATTAATTGCTAATGCTTTTGTCACGGTATACGGTATTATCACGGTATTGAAATTTCTTCTTTTTTTTTTAAGTGCTGTCATAATACAGTATAACGGGTTTAATAACTCGCTTTCATCCAGAGCGTCTCTCACATGTTCCGCCATGTGCTTCTCGTCCGCGCTTATTTACATCAGTGCGCACGCGTCTTTCACGCAGCATACAGCGGTGTTGTGCATTTTGACCAGTTGATGGGAAAAGTATTCTTAAAATGCATTCAAAATTCTGAATAATTTGTAATATATAATTATTCACGGTATTTAGAAGTGCCCACCATAACAATATCGTGCATATTCATTACCGTGATATACCGCACTACCGAATACCGACAAGTCTATATGTCAGTCATATGAGAAGTGAGCAGAGAAAAGTTACTACTCGGAAAACGTACAAATAAAGATAATTTTAGATGTTTAATTGCTGTTTGGAGCATTGGAATTGCTAGACGGGGACTTAATGAACTATTTTTTTTTATGAAAATCCAAAATTCGACCAAAATGAATTTTTTTTTTTCTTCTCAAAATTAGCCTGTGTGCATTCTGACTCATTTTGCCAGCACAGGTCACATATGACTTGTGTGTGTGTGTGTGTGTGTGTGTGTGTGTGTGTGTGTTAGAAATACACATTTGACAGTAGCTTGAGCTGACAGTAGTTGTAGCTTAAGTTTTATCATCAAAACAGTAACATCTATAAAAACTGTAACGACTTCATTTTTATATGGTGAAATGTAATCATTCTGAACTTTTTTGGTTTATTAAAATTAACCATTGTTCTTCCATAGTAGCATACTTTTAGATCATGATACCCACAGTTAAAAATACAATGCTATCTTAAAAATGTATCTGTATGGTTTCTAGGTATTTGTATGAAAAACAGTAGTCTGTGCGTTTATACTAAATGTATTTAAACACTAGCTTAATCACAAAAAATGCTGTATATTCCATTATATCTTTAATATATTTAATACATGTCTATATTAATAATATAATTACATTCTATATGAATATCCCACATTTCTGCCACAATATAATGGTACAGTTAGTGTTACTACAGTAAATCCATGGTAAATGATGGCAATTTGTAGATTGAAAAGCTTCCTGACTGTGCGCAGTGTTTCTCCTGTTTGTCAGCGCCATTTCATCTGGCTTTAAACTAGTTTAAATCACTGAATCGTTTGTTTTTTTGCTGAATTCAAGCACTTCACGATGGATCTCACAGCACTGTTCAGTGCTAGCGTGACCGAGACTCATCAGTGAGTAAGGCCACATGTCCACCAAAGTGTTTTTTCCCGAGGCTAGCTAGCGTACTTTTTCAGTTGTTCTAAATGGGCTTTTAAAACAGCAGGAGCGTACGGAGCGCTGAGCGTCTTTTTCGCTCCGAGCACTTGGTGTTATTTCTCTGCGCCGAGTTGAAGAATGTTCAACTTCAGGTAAAACGTAGCACTCATCACTGTCACTTTTCAGTCAGCTAACCAATCACAGTGGAGGAGGGGAGGGACGAATACAGACCAACCATCACACCCTGCTTGTACTACGGCTGAACAACAATGGAGAAGTTAAATATTGCTTTTCTCAGAGTATTTATGTCTTTACTAGATTGAATTACCGGACTACCATAATATTATGAAAAATAATGCTTGGAGAAACATTTCATTCGTATGCATCTGCCATATACTTCAGCGGATATTTAATATCTTTCATATTTCATATTTTGTATACTCGACAACTTCAGTAGTTTTATACTTCATTATCAGATTTAATTTGATTGGCATTAGCGATGTTTCTTAGAATTGTAGTTCTTTTCAAGTCGTTAAGTATACTGTCTTTTACCTTGTGGTGTTTTGTCTGACTTTGGAATACTTTTTTGCCTCAAATAAAGGTTTGAATCAAATGAATGAGGCATTTATATAGTGCTTTGTGTATTGCTGTACACCCAAAGCGCTATACAGTCATATGGGGGATCTCTCCTTAACCACCAATAGTGTGCAGCATCCACCTGGATGTGATGGCAGCCAAAGAACAATGGCGTCAGTGCGCTCACACCACACTAGCTACAGGTGGAGAGGAGAGAGATAGAGACAATTCAGTAGATGGTGACTATTAGGAGGCCGTGATTGACAGGGGCCAGTGGAGGGAATTTGGCCAGAACACGGGGGTTCAACCCCTACTCTTTACGAGAAGTGCCATGGGATTTTTTTAATGGCCACAGAGAGTCAGGTCCTCGGTTTAACGTCTCATCTGAAAGACAGTGCTTTTTACACCGGGATTAAAGTTCCGTCGCTACGACGGATTTCCGTCAGTTCATAAAGACAGTCACTTGCTTCATTCCTGAATGATTCAGCCGTTCGAATGAATGATTCAGTGATAAAATCAGTGACTTGCCGCCACCTGCTGGCGGATTTAGTTTCATTTTTAGCGTATAATTTCCGTTATTTGAATCACATTTCTGTATTCAAAATTGTATATTTAAAACATTAATCTCCACATGAATTTATGAATTTAATTGCACTCATGCTACCTCTGAGCCTCATTAAACGTCTGAAAATGTACCTACAAGCCACTTTTGTGTTCTTCTGTGCCACCTCTGTAGTACGAATTAATTTATTAATACTAATTTCATATGATTGGTTGAACTGACAGAAATCTGTCGTAGCGACAGAACTTTAATCCCTGTTTTTACAGTATAGTGTCCCCCTGTCACTATACTGGGGTGTTAGGAGCCACACAAACCACAGGATGAGCACCTGTTGGTCTCACTAACACCTCTTCCAGCAGCAACCTAGTTTTCCCAGGAGGTCTCCCATCCAAGTACCGACCAGGCTCAACCCTGCTTAGCTTCAGTGTGGAAACAGTCTTGGGCTGCAGGGTGATATGGCTGTGGCAATGATTAACCTTGTAATGCTGTGATTCACCTTATAGCTGTGTGGCCTGATTCATGGCTTTTAATGCTGTAAAGATTTTTTTTTTTTTAAACCCTATGGGAAAAATGAATGGGGAAAAATACTTCCAGAACCATTGCTGCCTAAAAAGTGGGCGTGATATATCGAATGTGAATGTGCATTCTGTTTATCAACATTTTTTAAAAAGTTTTAAATGAAATTAATTTTCAAATCATATTTGCAGAGACTGAATGGGCAGATTCACACACACAAAAGCAGTGCCGATGCATCAGAAGGAATCATGGGCCATCAATGCTGCTGAGGATCTACTTCAAAGACTGCTATGCTTCAAATTGGGTAAGATTTTTTTAGCAGTACCATAAATGCCATGTTACTAATATTCACGAGTTGTCACCTTGACAGACTGGTTAATTCTTTCTTTGCTTTGCTAATTTCCATACTAGACATTTTAATGAAATTATATTCATCAATCCCATACCGTTTCTGCATGTAATTTTAGGGTGTTTTCACATGTAGTTCGTTTTAAACCAGCCCCAGTTCGCTTAAAATGAACCAGAAAGGGAACTGGCCAAAAGTGACCTCAGTCCTTTTGGTGTTCACAATATTGTTGACTCAAAAGAGAACCCAGTTCTTTTCTTTGCCCTCTTCAGCACTTAATTGATCTCAGACCCTTTCTTGTTCATACCACAACTTCATAAGAACCCAGACTCCAGCTTTCTGTGCAGCAGTGAAATGCTGGAGTCTGATCTGGAAAATTTGGAAGATGAAGTGGAGAGGGAAAGGGGTGAGGAAGAGCTGGCAATCCCCCTGATCATGACACTGGTCAAGACATTGCAGAGTTTTAACAACGCATTTCAGTCAATCTTAAAATTAAAAGGGAATATTATAAAGTTAATTAAACTTGCTTTTTTTTCCTCCGATAAGATGGTATTAAAATGTTTCTTTGCTACTATTTATTGCCACTATATTGTTTCGCTGCTTTCATTGACACATACGAGACGCCGCACACACACACACACACACACACACACATCACTCGCAGTCGCAGAGACACAGATCAGAGATAGTGCTGCTCATACACAAAAATATTCACGAGCATGGACACTTGTTGTCAACGCTACAGACCAAGTTTTATTAATATAGTAGATTTGATACTGAATCGCTATATTTCTCAGCAACTAGGGGGTAAAATTGGATGTTTAAACGAAACTTAACTTTTGCAGAATGAGATGCACAGACACAATTCACACTCAACTTTCCTCTCTCTCTCTCGATAATTAATTCAAATCAATATAATTAATGCATTCAAATACATGTGATCTCACCGCACTACGTCTCTGTGTCTGATTTAAAGCGGGCAGAATGCTAGATCTCTTCTGCGTGTCGGGTGGTTCTTTGCCTTCACGACGAAAATACTTAATGTATGCATTAAATAAATTAATGCGCAGTTAACCGTAGATTACATAAATTACAAAATAATTGTTTTATTAATAATAATTAAAAAAATATATAGCCTATATAAAACGAGGGCTCAAACGAACTAGGTGTGAAAACACCCGTAGTCTTGATATAGGTACACTCTAAAAATGCTGGGTTGTTTCAACCCAATTTTGGGTCAAATATGGACTAACCCAACTGTTGGGTTAAAATTTTGTTACATTTTTAAATTAACTTTTTAACCCAACAGTTGGGTTAGTCCATATTTGACCCAAAATTGGGTTGAAACAACCCAGCATTTTTAGAGTGTAATATTATCATTAAAACTGACAAACTCCTGAAGGTTTTAACCTGTCTGTTCCTTACCTTAAGAACTGATAGATGTAAAAAATGGTATGTTATCCATATAGTACTGCTGACCATTTAGGCCTCTTTATTTTAAATCTTTTAAAGCTCATAGCAACCAGGGGCCTCATGTATAAACGTTGCGTATGCACAATATGGGCATAGAAATGTGTGTACGCGGTTTTCCATGCACATATCTGGATTTATAAACAAAAAATGGTGTAATGGTGCTCACCGTACTGATAATCTTGACTGCGTACGCACTCTTTTTCCTGGAGTGAGAAAAGTAATGAAGTAAACATGGATTTTAAACTGTTTTCATTTCGATATACAGTCATGGCCAAAAGTTTTGGCACTGACATAAATTTTGTTTTGCTAAGTTTGCTGCTTCAGTATTTGTAGATTATTTTTCCACATGTTTCTATGGTATACTGATAAACAAGTTTTAAAGGCGATATTTACAGTGTTGAACCTTGTTCTTCATAACCTCTGCAATTCGCTCTGGCATGCTGGATATTAGCTTCTGGGCCAAATCCTGACTGATGGCAATCCATTCTTGCCTTATTAGTTCTCGGAGTTGATCACAATTTGTGGGCTTCTGCTTGTCCACTCACCTTTTGAGGACTGACCACAGATTCTCTATGGGATTGAGATCCAGGGAGTTGTCTGGCCACGGATCCAAAATTTCAATGTAATGATCTTCGAGCCACTTTATAACTCTTTCTTTGTGACATGGTGCTCCATCATGCTGGAAAATGCACGGATCATTCAATTAAATTAAATTCAAGTTTATTTGTATAGCGCTTTTCATGTTACAAATCGTTGCAAAGCAACTGCGTCTGTTCGCGCAAATCATTCATTATCCAGTCTCATCTACAGAAGAAGTGAGTATAATGTTTTGTAATGAAGAAATTTTAACCAAACTATGTTACAGACTTTTCATTAAGACCCTAAAGAATCATATCAACTTGTGGAAAATGGGCATCATATGACCCCTTTAAGACATATTTGTAGTGGATGCGCTATGGAAACATAGCATGCTTTAATGACAGCGGGGAGTGCTATAATTTATATTTAAACTAAACTGCAGATCTCATCTAATGAGAGAATTTTTTTCGCAAGAACAATGATGCGCACTTACTTCGATATTATGGCAGACACAGCTGGATTTGGTGGTCGAACGGTCCATTGTCCAGTTTGAATAGGTCTGATAATAGCTTACTGTACAACCGTAGCTGCACAGAGGTGTACGTCATGTGAAGGCACATTTCCGTACATTTCTGCCATATGTACATTAACTGACAGTCACCACTGATAAGCTACCACTAAATATTGTAGAAACTTAATTTGCTGTGAAGTTGCCTTGCGATGATCTGTATCGTGAAAAGCGCTATACAAATAAACTTGAATTGAATTGAATCTCCACAACATTATGAAAAATACCACTGTATTAGAAGGATACAACTTGGAAAAATAAATGTAATATTATGAAATATGTAATGCATAAATTTTAATTTGATTTGAATTGTTTAAAACAAATGAAATACTATTTGGCCAATGGAAAATATGTGTTTGTGTGTGTGTGTGTATATTAGGGCTGGTAATTTAACGCATTAATTAGGTTAATTACTGTGAAAAATGATGCGTTAAAATTAACGCACTTGCCCCGCCCCAGACCTATGTGGGTCATCTGACATTTCATACAGTTGATCGATGACAAATAATGGGCAGGGCAACAACTCACTGCTTGATGGAGCCTAGTATAGGGCTGTGTTCGATACAACGATGTATCGTCACAAAGATTTGAGCATACGAATATCGTTACAGCTGTCTCTGTATCGATATCTCGGCACGTGCGCAGCAGTGGACCACACTTAATTTGAATACAAGAGCACAGTTTAAAAAGGAGTAGCAGTGTTGGGCAAGTTACTTCCAAAATGTAATGCATTATATATTAGTTACTGTCTTTTGAAAGTAATTAGTTGCATTTACAATATTACTGTCTCTGAATTGTAATGCGTTACACTACTTTTGAGTTACTTTCACCAAAATATCCACAGAAGTATTAGCAATAAAATGCCAAAATGTAGTTTATTGCTGGCTGCTCATTCTACATCCAGTGGAGGGTCTATAGCATAAAATTATAAAATCATATTTAGATACCGGTATGTAGGTCTACATTAATGTTACGTTGTAGTTTAGGTTAAATGCATAACTAAGCACAAACCGCATTATTACATTCATAAATAACACCGGTAAATAAAGCGAAATGTTATAATGTACAAACAATAAACACAATATCTAGCCTATAAACTATTTTGAACGTTTCAGAAGAAAAGAATGAAAAATATAAGTTGCTAAACAAGCCAAAAGTAGGCTAATTCAATGCGAAACTGAAAGCAAACAGCGTTCTCGCACAGCCTACCTCATTCGGCATTAATCCAATTAAATGTGTCCATATTTGCGATGTATTTGAATGCTAAACTATTATTTATTATGTAAACCAGGCTTACTTAACGCTCTTAAAAAAACATCCTCGTCACATGAGCAAATGTGTGTTTGGCCCGAGCTCAGGCTGAACGGCACGGATTGTACTACGCAGTACGCACTATTTAAATTAACCAGTGGATCTATATGTTTGGTTGACTGCATTTTATTATGATAATGAACAGGCTGCAATGTTTGCAATGCTGTATGTGTGCGCGTGAGGCGCCGGCGTGATCGAGTAGCGGAAAAAAATAGTTTTGTTTTTTTTGTTGTTGTTTATTTGTTTATGTGGTGTTTTTAATATGCTTTTAGACAAACCATGTGCCAATCAATTTATCAACACCATTGCAGAGTATTTTCTCCTTAAAACTTTAGTTTCCCAAAGGCAGTCACAGAAATGCGGTTTGAAACAGCCTTTTTTTGCTATGTCACAATTCAATAACCAATCGCGTTAAGGGATCCTATCCTCGGCATATCATTAATTGTGCTGCAAAGCAGAGGGTCTAGTGCAGGGGTGGGCAAACTTGGCCCTTCCAGGTCACTTTCCTTCAGAGTTTAGCTCCAACTCTAATCAAACACACCTGAACCAGCTAATCATTGTCTTCAAGACTACTGGAAAGCTACAGGCAGGTGAGTTTTATCAGGATTGGACCAAATCTCTGCAGGAAAGTGGCCTGGAAGGGCCAAGTTGGCCCATCACTGGTCTAGTGAGAAGGTAGCCAGGTTAATCCGGTAACAGTTATATTTTTTCTGTAGATGTTTCGCTAACTGTTAATATTTCCCCCCTATTTTCACGGTCATGTGCTGTTAGCGCTTATTTATTTGTATTTAGAACCGCTAACTTGAATAATTACCCGTGGCAGCAGTGTAAATGTAGCCTGGAGTCAGACGCACCTCTCCCGCATTGGCATCCGCACGTCACACGTGTATGATCACGGGTGCGATTTGGAATTACAAACTTGGCTGCATTTGAGTCTTCAAGGGATTTTGAGGACACAACATCAAGTAAGTAAATTTCAGAATCCACTGTAGTTGTCCGCTAGTAAAAACAGTTTGATCAGTCATTATCCGTGTACGAACCAGCGCAAACAGATAATGTCACCTGACTCGCCTCACGAAGTTAGCCATCAGTCTCCTTGCTTACGTTGAGCATACCAACTTATTTCTGGTTCAAACACATATGGCTTAATTAAACCAATATTTCGCGTTGTATTCGCGTTGTCCATTGTATCGCGTTTACTACAGTTCAGTTAGTGGCGCTGGCTCATGGCTGGCTGGTGTGTGACCTGAGTGGAGGCGGGGCTAATTTGTGTATTCATAGATCCGCGTATAGTAAATTAGGCAAGGGTGTAGAGTTGCATTCAAGCTATTTTAAGGCATGAGAATTTTCACAAGAAAAAACATTTAAATGTCATTTTGATGATCAAAGATGAGTTTTAAAGGATAAAATTTGACTACAGGGGGAGTTTAATGCATGTTTTGAACGAATTGGGTGAACCATTTGGCGCCTTGAACCACTGGCCATAGGCACGTTGGATTTGAAGCGGCGCTGCACAGACCGATCGGTGTATGACATTAAAGTACCGCGAGAGCGATTCGAAAGCATAAGGAGCCGTCTGCTCTCTATAGCTCTCGCGGTACTTTGATGTAACACACCGATCGGTCTGATTGATTCATTAGTCGAACAAGCCTAATGATTCAATGGACCATTCATAAAGAACCATTTACTTCACTCCTGAATGAATCAGCCATTTGAACGAATCAAATAAATGAATAAATGACTTGATGACTTAAGACATTTACCACCACCTACTGGCAGTTTTATTTTATTATTTAGAGTATCATTTCATGAAAGAAATAATTTAATGTTTCCATAGTAATAATAATAAAATTAATAAAATAAATTATTAAAGGTGTAGTTCACCCACCCAAAAATTACAATTGTGTCATCATTTACTCACCCTCATGGTCCAAAAGAATATATGTAATTTTATCAAACAAAATATTTCTTGCTGAAACTACTTTTTGTAATGTTTGTTTGATGCTTTATACAACAATGACTTTAAATGATCTTTTGGGAGTAATTTCTCAGCCAAATTTGATGTGCGATTTAATTTGCGATTAATTAGATTAATTAATCGCCACATCATGCAAGTAATTAGATTAAAAATTAATCACCTACCAGCCTTATATATGAATACTGGATGATTTTAGCGCAAAAATAAATTGTGGCATAAATGGCATTTAGTCCGCATCTCATTTCCTTAACGTCTTATACCTTTGACTAGGGCTGCGCGATAAATCGTGATAAATCGCAATCAATATTAGGCAAAAGCTGCAATATTCATGCGCGCATCTTGTCAGTGAGGCACGGTTCTGTGATCAGTAGTAAATCTCCATCCAAAAGCCAGAGGGCGCTGTCACGCAGAAAATCCAAATATGCCCCGCAGAAGAAATCCAGGAAATCCCGATCACTGAAATACATCAGCGAATTATTAAATGTAAGTTTCAAAAACCTTTCATTTTTGACATCAATGTGACTATAGTGCCAAAATATGTGTTCGAACTAGGCCTAGCCTATAAAACTCAACAATAAGCCACCTTTTCTGTAGTTTTATTTATGGCATAATGCACACCTCCTTAAATGTAATCTAAACATTCCAAGTTAATATCCTATTTTTTGTAGGAATTTTAGGCATTTTTCATGTCTCAGTTTTAGCCTGTTAATCTTTTTCGCAACTTTTGTGTGTGTGTGTGAGTAAATTGTGACGCGAATAGTCTCTCATGAACGTGCAGCCTTGTAAAGAGGACCAGCAGCCAAGGTCAGGGTTTTTCATTCAAAAATTCTCATTAGCCTGTAGATTGAAATGAAAGATCCTTAATACTACAATATTACAACAAGGAAAGTGTGTAATTTTTATGATTTTCATAATGACTGTTTAATAACCATAACATGCAGTAAGAGCCTTTGTGTAAATTTCTTTCATTCTTTTTTTTACATTTTTGATGCTTTAGGCTGCAGCCTACGACTATCCCACGTTTTGAAATTAACCCTCACTATACATTTTCTAATGATTTTTAAGGATGTTATAATGTTATATTATAATGTTATTGTTTTAATTTGTTATTTGATCTCTGATAATTCCAGTCAGTTTGAAACTTGTCCCTTTGCGCCACCTGGCGGTAGTTTTGTGAACGACTTGAACGCGCGACATGCAGTTAAAGCCGTGGCCCTGCGGCAGCAGTAAGAGTCATTTTGGTTGTCCACCTACTATACCAGCCGTTAAAAAGTTTTTTTTTTTTTTCCAAATTTGAAAGATAGTTACAAACCTGCTTGATGCTTCCATTGGTCCTTGGCAAATTGGTATATGATGCAAAGTCCTATCTTTGAATGGATTTCAAACATAAAAGTCCCAAAATGGTAGTTTCTTTATGGTCTCATCACATGATATTTCATAAAATGGACATTATTGGACAAAGTTTTTGTATATTATGATGGAAATATAAATACAAATGCTTTGCAATAATATACAGGATTGCAAAACTCTTTGAAAATCATGCCAAATAGTGCAGAAAATTAATCTGAATAAATTTAGGGTAATTTCAAAGATGTTTCCAAAAAAGTTATGGCCGGAAGGTCGCACCACATGATATTTTGACACTTTGAATAACAGAATAGTTACAAATAACCTAATGGTTTTTGAAAAGCTTAAGCGAGTACATACAGGTGCATCTCAAATTAGAATGTCGTGGAAAAGTTCATTAATTTGTTGAGATAGTGAATTGGTGGGTTTTTGTTAAATGTGAGCCAAAATCATCACAATTAAAAGAACCAAAGACTTAAACTACTTCAGTCTGTGTGCATTGAATTTATTTAATATACGAGTTTCACAATTTGAGTTGAATTACTGAAATAAATGAACTTTTCCGCGACATTCTAATTTATTGAGAACTGTACATGGGAGAGGTACGTAATATATATGGCATCTTTTTATGGATTTAAACCAATTTTTAACTGAAAAAATGCAATCGAACAGAAAATTTAGGCGTCACGTCATTGACCCATGCACATATATAGCTAAAATATGTATAATGTTAATTATGAATTCGGCCTGTTGTGATCAGGATTTTTTTGGGGAAAAAAATCAAATTGATGGGCATAATTTCCAACATTATAGGGTTTGCATGCGGTCCCCGTGAGGGGAAAAAAAAAATTAAATACTAGATGTTTATCTATAAGTGTAACAATGCAAACAATTTTTCTGTAAGGAGTAGGTTTAGTGTTAGGGGATAGAAAATATTGTTTGGTCATTATGAAATCAATAGAATCTGGAAAGTCCCCACAATTCACAGAAACCTAATGTGTGTGTTCGTTTCTCAGTTCATCAGCTATTGCCAATTTTGTGTATTGCCTGCCATAATGAAAGTGAAACTGTCCATTTAATCCCTCAGACTCGAGACAGAAGGATGTACTACTCTGTAGGAGTACTTTACTTTGATCACCTTCAAATGAAGAGTTTCTCTGGCATTGCCACCTGTCATGCTGCCATCCTGCCACATGATGCACCTTCTACAGAAGAATCACCTGAAGTTATCTGTGGAAAGCCATTTGTGATTGTAAAATTACCAGTCAAGAGGATTAAAAGTGTTAAAGTTTTGGGTGAGTACTTATTGATAAGTACTTATGGATAAGGTAGTTACACCACTAATTTTGGACTATAGCAATTTTATTCTATATTCATGAAGCTTCAGTAGAACAACATTGAACAACAGTGATATGTTGTCGGGCCATATGTCAGTAAACAAATTTTCCTGTCCTGTCAGCCGTTATACTGTGCTCATAGCATGTGTGCTTCAATTGCGTGTACAAATGGGGTGGCACACGCTGTGCATTTCATATTAAAGCGCAAAAGAAACTACGAGCATGCACTGTTGTAGTTTTGTCAGTTAAGTCATGAAGATGATTAAAGCGGTGTTAAAACTGTGCATGCATTTAAGTATTTGTTAAATATGAGTCACATTTAAGAACATGTCTCTGAAATGCAGTGGCTTTCACAACTGTCTTTGTGCATCCCAGCACTGTCTCCCTCATCTGACACACCTGATTCAACTCATCAACTCATTACTAGAGACTTTAAGATCTGAAGTGGGTCAGGAGTGTTAAAGAGTAGTGAGAAAATACAATGCATGTCAGATCCGCATAATGATCTGCAGCGGCATCTCTTAAAGTAATAGCAACCAAAATAACCTAATAACCCAGCTGCTGTGATGTCTGTTAATCAAAGAACAAAAGAAAAAAGAGGAAATCAATAACTTTTGTAGCTTTGATCTATCTATATTTAATTTAGAATTTAGTGTTTGATAACTTTAATCAGTTTCTGTGTATTTCCTACTTGCTGAAGGGCACAGGTAGCTAATTATGACATGTTATTATTGTGGGTTTATGTGAAGACTGTTTTAAGTTCACGTAAATTTGTTTTTTCAAATCTAATAAATGTTAAAATTGATAGCTCTCAATTATACTGTTATGTTGAATGGCTATAGTCAATGGTTAAATAGGAAAAAACTTTCATAGAGACATCAGTATTATTGGTATCAGTGAATCTCACCTTCAGTCATAAAGATGCCATTAAACAAATATAAAAAAATATACTGTCTTTGTTGATTCTACATTCATTTGAAGATTGAATGTGAAATTATTGCAATATAAAAGTATATTTAAAACCTTTAACGTTAGGTGGGATTAATCACGATTAATTTCAGAAAAAAATGATTAATTCTTTTTTTTTTTTTTTTTATCTATTGACGGCACTAATAATAATAATACAAAGAACAGATGTAAACTGGTAACCATTTTGAAACAATATTTACAACCAGGAAAATTCTTCCTATCTACTTCTGTTCTCAAGGTATGTCCAGGCAATTGCCTCGTGCAGTCCTTTGGAAAAGTCACCATACTGTGTTAGTCAAATTGAAACGCTCCGCAGTTGAGGTAAGACCTGTACAATGTATAATCAAGTTTTGCTGCCATGTTTTTGTTGTCTCTTAAATTTTACAATGTATTGATTTTGCCAGGATGGTATTCTCCAGCTGGATTATCTTGATGTGACTGGAAAATTGCAGACAGTCATGTTGTCCTGTGTTCAACAGACGTTTAAAAAGGCCATCAGAAAACGAAGACAAGACCCTTTTGATTTTATTTGGGAATATGATTCAATACCTACTGTTGGGACAGACTTTGACCTTCCAGACTTTGACCTTCCAGATTTTGACCTTCCAGACTTTGATGTCAAACCCACTGTTCCATGTGGGGAATTTGAAGAAATCCCTAAAACTACCCAAAGGACACTTCCATCCAGCACACCTAGATATCCACACCCCACTTCATGGACAAACACTGATCCCTTCAGGCCACCAACTATAACGCTTGGTACAACCAAAGAAGGGGAATCCTCAAGTGCAGCTACACAACCAGACAGGATCACCAAAACTGCAACTCCTGTTGTTGATGCTGATGTAGAGTTTGGGACAGATTTGGACCTTTCAGACTTTGATGTCAAACCCACTGTTCCATGTGGGGAATTTGAAAAAACTCTTAAAACTAGCCAAAGAACACTTTCATCAAGTACTCCCACACAAACAGGCCAGGCTACATTGAAAAGCACAAGACATGACTATGAATGGGGTTTCTCAGATAAACCATTGACTCCTTTGAATTCTGCAGAAACAGCTCACTCTGTTAGCTCAACAGAAATTGTATTGAAAACATACACACCTGTTATGACAACTGCTGGAGCAACAACCTTACCTGAAACCATGCCTTATTTAACATCTGCTGCTGGAACCACAATAGCTCTGAAAACTACTTCTGCTGAAACTACTTTTCCAGACATCACTTCCATAGAAACTACTTCTCCGAGAACTAATACTGCTGAAATAATGCCCTCCATTAGTTCGACAGTAAATATTTTAGGAGCATCCACAAATGTAATGACAATCTCACCTGAGCCAACACCTGCCGTAACGTTTGCGGTTGAAACCGCAATGGCTAAAACTACCACAGAGACTAATACCCTTGCCACAACTGCTGAAGAAACCACTAACCTTGGCATCACTTCTGCAGAAACTACTACAACTTCTGTAGAAAGCACAACATCTGCAGAAACTACTAACCTTGGCATCACTTCTGCAGAAAGCACAACCCTGGGCACGACTTCTGCAGAAACAACTACCCTTGGCTCTACTTCTGCAGCAAGTACCTCACTTGGCACCTCTTCTGTAGAAAGTACAACCGTGAGCATAACCTCTACAAAAACTACTACACTTGGCATCATTTCTGCAGAAACAACTACGACTTCTGAAGAAAGAACAACCCTGGAAACCACTGCTGTGGAAACTACTACCCTTGGCACCACTTCTGTAGAAAGCAAAACCCTGGGCACGACTTCTGCAGAAACAACTACCCTTGGCTCTACTTCTGCAGCAAGTACCTCACTTGGCACCTCTTCTGTAGAAAGCACAACCCTTGGTGCCACTTCTGCAGTAAAAACATCCTCTGCAAGTTCAACAGGAATATTGGAAACATCCACACTTGTAACAACAACTGCTGGAACAGCAACTACGCCTGCCTCAACATCTCCAGTTGAAACCACAATGGCTCAAACTACCACTCCTGCAGAAACTACTACCTTTGACATCACTTCTGCAGCAAGTACCTTACTTAGCACCACTTCTGTAGAAAGTACAACCATAGGCATGACTTCTGCAGAAGCTACTACCCTTGGCATAACTTCTGCAACAGGTATCTCACTTGGCACCTCTTCTGTAGAAAGTGCAACTGTGAGCACAACCTCTGCAAAAACTACTACCATTGTCATCCCTTATGTAGAAAGCACAACCCTTGGCACCACTTCTGCAGAAAAAACATCCTTTGCAAGTTCAACAGGAATCTTGAAAACATTGCTTGTAACAACTGCTGGAACAACAGCAGCTACGCCTGGCTCAACATCTGCAGTCAAAACCACAATGGCTCAAACTACACCTTTTTCAGAAATTACTGCACTTGGCTCCACTTCTGTTGAAACTACTACCCTTAGCACCACTTCTGCAGAAACTACTACCCTTGGCACCACTTCTATAGAAAGTACAACCCTGGGCACCACTTCTGCAGAAACAACATCCTCTGTAAGTTCAACAGGAATCTTCGAAACATCCTGGCTTGTAACGACAACTGCTGGAACAACACCATCAACCATAACTACGTTTGCCTTAACATCTTCTGTTGAAACCACAATAGCTCAAACTACCACTTCTGCAGAAACTACTACCAATTCTGCAGAAACAACATCCTCTGTAAGTTCAACAGGAATCTTGGAAACATCCACGCTTGTAATGACAACTGTTGGAACAACAGCAACTATGCCTTCCTCAACATCTGCAGTTGAAACCACAATGGCTCAAACTGCCTCTTTTACAGAAATTACAACACTTGGCTCCACTTCTACAGAAACTACTATCCTTGGCACCACTTCTGTAGAAAGGACAACCATGGGCACCACTTCTGCAGAAACAACTTCATCTGTAAGTTCAACAGCCGTATTGGAAACATCCACACCAGTAATGACAACTGCTGCAACACCAAACTCAATCATAACCACGCCTGCCTTAACATCTGCAGTTGAATCCACAATGGCTCAAACTGCCTCTTTTACAGAAATTACAACACTTGGCTCCACTTCTACAGAAACTACTATCCTTGGCACCACTTCTGTAGAAAGGACAACCATGGGCACCACTTCTGCAGAAACAACTTCATCTGTAAGTTCAACAGCCGTATTGGAAACATCCACACCAGTAATGACAACTGCTGCAACACCAAACTCAATCATAACCACGCCTGCCTTAACATCTGCAGTTGAATCCACAATGGCTCAAACTACCACTTTTGCAGGAATTACTACACTTGGAACCACATCTGTAGAAATTACTGCACTTGGCAGCACTTCCGTGGAAAGTACAACCCTGGGCACCACTTCTGCTGAAACTACAGAAGTTACTACAATTTCCAGCACTTTTGCAGAAACTACTATCCTTGGGTCCTTTGCTGCAGAAACTGCTACCCTTGGCACCGTTTCTGTAGAAAGTACCACTATTGGCACCACTTCTGCTGAAATTACACCCTCAGTTTAACAGGAGTACTGTTGGAAACATCCACAATAGTACTGTCAACTGCTGGAACAACAAAGTTGTACTTTGATCCAAAAATGACTAAACTTGGCAGCACTTCTGTAGAAACTACTGCCATCGACACCCCTTCTGTAGAAAGTACTACCTTAAAACCACATCCATAAAAACTACATCCTCTGTAAGTTCAACAGGAATATTGGTTACATCTATACCAGTATTGACGTCTGCTGGAACAACTTCAGTTACAACTACACCTGGCTTAACATCTGTTATTGGAACCACAATGGCTCAAACTACCACTTCTGCAGAAATTACTACACTTGGAACCACATCTATAGAAAGTACTATGCTGGGCACCATTTCTGCTGGAAGTACACCCTCAGTTCGCTCAACAGGAAGAATATTGGAAATATCCACACCAGTAATGACAACTGCTGGAGCAACAACCTCATCTGTAACTATACCTGCATTAACATCTCCTGCTGAAACCACAAAAGGTCAATCTACCATTTCTGCAGAAATTGCTACAATTGGAACCATGTCTGTAAAAATGACAGCACTTGGCACCACTTCTGTAGACAGTACAACCTTGGACACCACTTCTGCCAAAACTAGTACCCTTGACACCACTTCTGTGGACATTGCTACACTTGGCACCACTACTGTAGAAAGTACAACCCTGAGCACTACTTCTGCTGAAACAACTTCCTCTGTAAGTTCAACAGGAGCATTTGAAACCACTACACTTGCCACCACTTCTATAGAAAGTACTACCCTTGGCACCACTTCAGTTCAAATTACATCCTCAGTTAGCTCAACAGGGATGGTGTTGGATACATCCACACCAGTTACAACAACTGCTGGAGCAACAACCTCAGCTATACTTAGACCTGAATTACATCTGTTTTTGAAACTGCAATGGCTCAAATTGCCACTTCTGCAGAAACGACTACACTTGGCACCCCTTATATAGAAAGTACTAGCTTAAGGACCACTTCTACAGAAACGGCAATCTCTGTAAGTTCAACAGAATTATTGGAAACATCCAGCTTGAAATGACAACGGCCGGAACAACAACAACCTCAACTGTAACTATGCCTGCCTTATCATCTGCTGTTGAAACAACAGTGGCTCAGCGTACCACCTCTGCAGAAATTACTACACTTGGTGCCACTTCTATACAATGTACAGCCCTAGGCACCACTTCTGCAGAAATTACTACCCTTGGAATCACATCTGTGGAAAGTACTACACTTGGCAGTACTTCTGTAGATACTAGTACTCTGGGCACCTCTTCTGCAAAAACTCCCTCACTTGGTACCACTTCTGTAGAAAGTACAACCCTGGGCACAACCTCTGCAGAAACTACTACTCTTGGCATCACTTCTATAGAAAGCACAATCCTGGGCACCACTTCTGCAGAAACAACATCCTCTGTAAGTTCAACTGGAATCTTGTTAACATCCATGCTTGTAATGACAACTGCTGGAACAACAAGCATGACTACGCCTGCCTTAGCATCTGCTGTTGAAACCACAGTGGCTCAAACTACCACTTCTGCAGAAATTACTACACTTGGATCCACGTCTGTAGAAATTACTGCACTTGGCACCACTTCTGTAGAAAGTACAACCCTGGGCACCACTTCTGCAGAAACAACATCCTCTGTAAGTTCAACAGAATTATTGGAAATGAATTAATGGAAATGATCCACACTTGGAATGACAATGGCCGGAACAACAACAACCTCAACTATGCCTGCCTTAACGTCTGCTGTTGAAACAACAGTGGCTCAGTGTACCACCTCTGCAGAAATTACTGCACTTGGTGCCACTTCTATAGAATGTACAGCCCTAGGCACCACTTCTGCAAAAATTACTACCCTTGGTATCACTGAAACTACCTCAGTTCGTTCAACAGAAATAGTATTGGAAACATCCACACCATTAATGACAACTACTGGAACACCAACCTCAACCATAACTACGCCTGCCTTGACATCTGCTGTTGAAACTACAATGGCTCAAACTACCACTTCTGCAGAAATTACTACTCTTGACACCAGTTCTGCAGAAACTGCACCCTCAGTTAATTCAGCAGGAATAGTATTGGAAACCACACCAGTAAAAACAACTGCTGGAACAACAACCTCAACTATAACTACACCTGCCTTAACATCGGTTGTTGAAACCACACTGGCTCAAACTACCACTTCTGCAGAAATTACTACTTTTGAAACCACATCTGTAGAAATGACTACACTTGGTAGCACTTCTGTATAAACTAGTACTCTTGGCATCACTTCTGCAGAAAGTACTAAATTTGGTACCATTTCTGCAGAAACTGCACCCTTAGTTAGTTCAAAGGCAGTAGTATTGGCAACATACCCACCAGTAATGACAACTACTGGAAAAACAACCTCAGCTATAACTTTGCCTTGCTTAACATCTGTTGATGAAACCACAGTGACCAAAACTACCACTTCTGCAGAAAGTACTACCTTGGGCACTACTTTTCCAAAAACTACTACTCTTGGCACCACTATAACTACACCTGCCTTAACATCTGTTGTTGAAGCCACAATGGCTCAAACTACCATTAGGCACCACTACTGCAGAAACTACAACACTTGGCACCAATTCTGAAAAAAAAAAAAACACCACCGTTGGTCCCACTTTTGTAGAAGGTACTTCCCTGGGTACCACTTGTGCACTACCCTTAGTACTACATCTGTAGAAGGTACTAACTTGGGCACTACTTCTCCAGAAACTACACTTGGAACCACTTCTGCATTAACTATAATGCTTGATAGCACTTTTGCTGAAACAACACCCTCAATTAGTTCAGCAGGAACTACAGCTATAGGCACACCTGTCTTAACGCCTGCTGTTGAAACCACAATGGCTCAAACTACCATTAGGCACCACTACTGTAGAAACTACTACTTTTGGCACCACTTCTGTAAAAAAAAAAAAACACCGTTGGTCCCTCTTTTGTAGAAGGTACTTCCCTGGGTACCACTTGTGCACACACTAGTACCCTTGCCACCACTTTTGCTTGAAACAAAACCATCTGTTAGTTCAACAGGAATAGTATTGGGATCATCCACACATGTAATGACAACTGTTGGAACAATCCGCTGTAGAAACCACATTGGCTCAAACTACCACTTCTGAAGATATTACTACAGAAACTTCTACCCTTGGTACCACATAATTATGCCTTTCTTAAAGTCTGCTGCTGAGTCCACAATGGCTCTGAAAACTTCAAAAATGTATCCTACAGGTACCACTGCAATAGTTCAATAGTACTAAAAGTACCTCTTTTAGTTCAAAAGCTATAATACTGGAAACATCCACGCGTGTAATGACAACTGCTGGAACAGCAATCTCAGCTATAACTATGCCTGGCTTTAATGTCTGCTGTTGAAATCACAGTGTCTCAAACAGAAACTACTATGGTGCTCTTGGCACCAATTCTGCAGAAACTACAACCCTAGGCACCACTTTTACTGAAACCGTTAATTCAACAGGAAAATGTATGGAAATATACACACCAGTAAGGACAACTGCTCGAACAATCACGTCTGAAACTACTCCTGGCTTAACATCTGTTGAAGCCACAATGGCTCTGAAAAGTCTCACTTATATGGAAACTGTTTTCCTGGGCACGACTTATCCAGAAACTACTACAATCTCGACAGTCTCTTCGAAAACTACAACTTCTGCAGTAGGTAGTATACCACTTATTTTGAAACAACTTAAGTTCAATTTTACAAACATCTACACCTTTATCAGAGGTGGGTAGAGTACCCAAAAACTGTACTCAAGTAAAAGTACTTATAGAAATATTTACTCCAGTAAAAGCCTGAATAGTTACTTGAGTACAAGTCAAAAAAGTATCGGATAAAAAAATCTACTCAAGTAGTTGGTTACTAGTTTGGATCATATACTGTATATCTATAGTCTATTTTTATTTAGATATGTAACGCGTTAACGCATGCGATTAATTAAACAGTCCTTAATGCATTAAAATAATTTAATGTAATTAACACTATTCACTTCAATTCAAGTTTATTTGTATAGCGCTTTTCACGATACAAATCGTTGCAAAGCAACTTTACAGCAAATGAAGTTTCTACAATATTTAGTGGTAGCTTATCAGTGGTGACTGTCAGTTAATGTACATATGGCAGAAATGTACGGAAAAATCAATTCAAGACGTAATCAAACAGACAATGAACACTATTAACAGCAATTATTATATGATGCAATCAAACTTATAGCAAAATGTGGTAGTTCTGTATGTTGTTTCAGGGTTGGCATCATCTGAGGTCCTCTGAGGGGTTGGCATCATCTCTTCTCAGGTGTTCTGGATCCAGACTGAAGCTTGTGTAAATCCTAGTTACCACGGGATGTGAATAACAGAGAAAACTGAGAAACAAATAGAGACATAATTAGCATAGCTGCTGTTCCAACCAAGCAAAATTAATTTGTTTAACCCAAACTAAAGAATAACAATGTGCATTTGATCAGATATAA